TTTGAAAAAATCAGGTACAATATCTGAATTTGTAAAGTATGAGTTTTTTATATTCAACAAGCGCAATTTGACCCTCTAGACCTCGCTATTGTTTTTTAGGAAAGGAATGCGATCACGTACTCAACACCCTCTGTCAAATTTTGTATCTTATAAGAATTATCATCATCTTACCATATGTTTGTCTCACAATTGTTAAATGTGGATATACCTAAATCTATACGGGAAGCATTAAAGGTTCCTGAATGGAAGAAAGTTGTCATTGAAGAAAAGAGGCTCTAGAGAAGAGTAGAGTGATACGTGGGAAATGACTTGTTTGCTTGAAGGAAAATTGATCGTTAGGTGCAAGTGGGTTTTCACTGTAAAATTCAACTTAGATGGATCTTTGAAACATTTTTTTTTTGAAATAAAAGTAAAGTATTATTATGCACAAGGCACCAAAGGAGTACCGCTCATATACAAAATAGTTACAAATCTATCAACTGGTTGATGACCGCATCCATATTATCAATATCTTTTGACCCAATAAAATAGATCTAAAAGTGTATATCCACCTATCCTTAATGTTACCAAGTCTCCACCCCCTCAAAAACTCTACCATTTCTTTCTTTCCAAATTACCCAAAAAGAAAGTAAGTGCAATAAGAAATAGATGCCTCCCCTTTTCTTTACAAAACCCCTCCCAAGCCCAAAGTTCATTACTAACACTACCCGCCATAACCCAATCCACCCCAATAAGCCTCAAAACAGCAAACAAATGTTGTAAGTTACAGGGCAGCCCAATAACAGGTGGAAACGGGTCTCCTCATCAGCTTTGCATAAGAAGCACCTGTTAATCAGCACATTCCCTTTTCTTCTAAGCATGTCAACTGTTAAAATCCTCTCTTTAGCCGCTTCCCAAGCAAAAAAACTGATTCTAGGTGGTGCTTTAGATTTCCAAATTCGTGTGAAAGGGCCAGAATGGGTGTTGTTGTTCTCTCTCTTAGTACTGAATTCATAGTATGATCTAACAGAGAAGCTCCTCTTTTTGTCTAACTTCCAAATTCTATTATCCTTATTCTCGTCTATGTTAATATTAGATAAACACAGCAACAGCTCCACATACTCTTCTACTTCCCAATCCTGCAAATTACACTTGACCGGAACAGTCCATTCCCTACCCCCCACCAACTTCATAGGCTGCCTTCACACTCATCTCCTTGTCGCTGGCCACAGAGAAAATTCTGGGAAATTTATCTTTAAGTTTGAACTCCCCAGCCTATTCATCCAACCAGAATTGAATATCCTCTCCATTACCAACCTGTCAACCCAAACATTTCTCAAAAGTTTTATTTCCTTCCCTGATTTTCTTCCATAGCCCATC